TGAAGGCCAGGCATCCCCACCCACCCCACTCTTTCTTCTGCATGCAGGGAGGGGAGGGATGGAGTCTAGAATCAGTGATGCAAAGGGTGGGGAACAGGCCCACTGTGGAAGCCTTTTCCAGTCCTGCCCACATGCAGCCCTTGTTCATTCTGAACTAGGGACTCAGAAATGAAGGAATATCGTATTCTAATGGCTGAGGATCTAGGGTTGGAGAAATGATTTAGAGGTTTATAAAGTTAGTCCTCCTAAAGGGAATGAGTAAGACATGAATTTGGGGTATATATAGTGTGTTTCTCAGCAAAGGGAATAAACAAGATGGCTTCTGGTGGGATCTGAAGGGTCCCTCACAGGTCCCCTGAGTAGACTCCAGTCTTCACTCAACAAAGAAATCTGGAAGGAGGAGGAAAGTGGGCTCCTTCCAGGGTCCGGAACTTGGACCACATTGTGGGTACTTCCTTCTAATTACACTGTGTTCAAGCACATGATGCTCCTGTTTACAGGCCATGGATCTGTCCTTGGTGCTGGCCCTTCCCCTATGGAGCCCAGCGTGAGGGACAGAAACTTGTTCTCTCATGCTTGTCTGTGCTCTGGAGAGTTTCTGAGATGGGTCCAACCATCCTGATCAGGTTCTTCACAGTCTACAAAGTGGAGAAATGCTACTGATTTTTCTAAAATGTGTGCGTGTGTGTGTCTGTGTGTGTGTCTGTGTGTGTGTCTGTGTGTGTGTCTGTGTTCATGGGGGTGTACAAAGGGAGCAAATCAAGGAGGCTTTAGAATCAAGCTGGTCTTCCACTCACAATCATCTTCCTGGTTCAACTTTGCAGAATGCTAACATTGCAGGTGTGGCCCACCATGCACTGTCTTGCTCTCTTTCCAGGGAGAACATGGGCTGAACTGAATGAACCACACAGGAGCATTTGGAGACTCTTAGCCCTTTATAGCTTGGACATTCTGTTCCTTCACTGTTCTGATGCCCTGAGTTTTATGATGAATTGCTATTTTATTATCATTTGTAATGTTAGTGTTTGTATGTGTCGATCAAATATAAAATAACAGCATGGCTTGGTGGCACACCTTCATAATCCCAGCACTGGAGATGCTGAAGCAATTCAGAGGAGAGGAAGCCCTGAGTGGGTCCTGAGTGAGTGTGTACTGTTGACCTGGGCACCGCCATGACAAGGACCAAGGCCTCAGACCCAAGGCAAATGGCAAATACTTTCCATTTATGGGTCAGACTCAGAATTAGCAAAGTTTCTTCCTCAGGTCCGCATTCAGGTGTTTATGGATGATGGATCAGTGTGAGCAATAACAAGCAACTGCATCTTCCTGGAGGTTCCAGCCTGAGACTTTCAGTCCTCTTGCAGAGAATAGCTAGCCCCTTCTTCTTGCTGTTCATAACAGACATGCTGAGGAAGCAGGGTGCAGAGGAAGTAGCTGAGGCTCCATCAGAGCACATGCAGGACACTGTAAGCCAGTTTTCTGTAAATGTGTCTGTGTGTCTGTCCTTTCTTCATTCCCTCACTGACCCTCAAAGCCCCTTTGGGTTTCAGACCTAAGCCAGATGTGCTGTAGCAAAGGGAGTCATTCAGAAGGTCATGATGTACCTGTGTGACATAGTGAGTTCCAGATTCAAATGACCTAAAGATTAACTACAAATATGAACGGTTTAGACACAGGGACAGCTAGAAGACCACTAACTTCTCATCTAGAGGAACCAAATTTTGTTCCCAGTCCACAGTTAGGCATTGCCTGTAACTGACTGCCTGTAACTCTTGTTGCAGGGGATACAATAATATGGACTCCATGGGTACTTGTAGGAATTTAGCAGAGTCACTGTATCTGGGGTAGACATTAGAATGAACAGCTGTTTTCTAGAAGTACTTTAACCTTGAAGAACCCTTGTGAAAAAAGTGGTTTTTTCCCTATGTTTGTAGAATTTTTTGCTGAAGGGGCATTGCAGCCATCCCATGGCTTTGATCACAAGACTCCTCAGGCACACCTGAGGCTCTTGTATTATTGTGTATTGCAAATGATACATAATAAAGGACTAGAGTCAAGGGGGCATGTGATGCTCTCCCTTAGTAAGACATGTAAATTATATTAGAGACCTTGGTATAGGGTAATACTTTATGTAACTATCATTAAATATGTCTTTGTACAGCTGTTTAAGGTTTAGTCCATCAGAGAGCCTAGACCTTCCTGCTGCTACATAGGCCTTAAAATTTCATCTTGGAGTGCCTTTCTTCAACCAACTCATGCTACATGGTGCACCTGAGAGGTACTCCTGTGTAGTGGGTAGCCATTCCAGCTTTAATCTGGAAGTTCCAACCCCCATTGAGGCTTTGACAACTGTCAAGCCTACAAGGCAGGGACAAGGGAGGACCCTGGAGACCCAAGATCAGGATTGGCCAGCTCCCTCTCTGTCCCTGGACTCTGGACGGTGGAGGTTGACTGAACACAGCTCCAGGGAACACTGCTGGACTGCATACACCTTCCCCAGACCCCGCAATCTACCTATCCCTTCATTTGTAAGTTACCCACTAAATAAATCTTCCTTTTAACTACGTGGAGTGGCCTTAATAATTTCACCAATACTCCCACACTCAGGGATTACACACACATGCATACAGATAAATAAGAAACAAATCCTTAAAAATAAGGTAAGTAAAATGGATGACCCTGAGACATGGAAGATCAGTTTGTATTTTCACCCATAAGGGGGACCTTTGTTTAAACATAGTAGTTTCCCCTGTGGCTCTATGTCCACTGTATTCATACAGACTGAAGGACAGTCAGGCCCCTATGGATGTTCTTCCCAATGACAAGTTTGTCCTGATCCCAGGAATCTTCCTTCTCCTGAGGATCTGTTCCCTCACACTACACTCACATACCGCCAGCTACAGAAACAGATGTAGGCTTCACAGAGCTTTGTCAGGCTTCACGGAGATCCAGTAGACCATGGCATCCACAAGAAAGGTAGGCAGGTAGCTCATGGGGAGGTAGAAGAGCTTGGCATCCCAACCAGCTGAGTACCGAGTGCGAGGGTGACAGGAAGTCAGTGCGTGCTCCATGCAGTCCGTCACCAAGGAGAGGTCCTCATTACACTTTTGGTCCAATGACTTTAGCTTAGCCAGATCTATGCAGAATGAGAAGTGATTCAGCTGGTGTTGACCTCCACCCCTTCTGCTCTAGACCAACATAGAGGAAAGTTTCTCTATACCCCGTGATCCCACATCAGAAGCCATGCCAACACTATCCTGTCCCAGGTCCTCAGGGGGACCAGAACCCAGCTTCAAGGAAGAACTGTGCACATTCACCACTGGTTTGTCAGTCAGCTCATGGAAAGGGCTGTCTAATTCTTCCTCCTCCTCCTGTCCCTGACCTCACTCACAGCTTCATGATGATGAGAGGCTCCAATGGAACAGAGCACCATGTTCTCAAAGTCAAGATTTTTCTGACAATATACACACCTACCACAAGAAAATGGGTCTAATTTCTTTGAAGAATGAGAGCAATAGGTTAGTACTGGCAAAATGAACAGGAGACTAAGGATTCAGGACTAGACTCTGTTGGGTCTTCACAGCTCACTTACTTGATGCCAGGAAGTCCTCGCCATAGATCTCTTTGACCTCTGAGCTGGCCTGGTCCCACACCATCTTTATATTTGACAATAATCTGTCACTACTGCTCATAGCAGTCTTGAAGGAACCAGGCTCTATAATAGCCACTTTCACCCCAAAATACGAGAGCTCCCTCCTGCAAGACAGACAGGCATCAAGAACTTCAGATGATTTTTCTGTGAAAGAATTCACCATAAGTGTACAGTGACATGCCAACACGAGCCTGTGGTGAGGAGAGGTCACAGTTGTGGATCTGGGTTGTGCAGCAGATGGGAATGAAACTCCTGGTGAGGGCATTGCCTCTGTGCTTTGGAATGTCACACTAAGAGTTTGGTGTGTGTAGCTCACTGGGCTAAAACTAGGCCTTCTGTTCCATGACACCATTAAGACCTCTCTCCATGAACTGCAGATGCAAAGGGTCACCATCTTGCGCGAGTCACCTCCACCTCACTCCTAAGTCTCAGTCCACCCCACTGTCCCAGGAAGCACTCAGGACATCTCTCACTTTGTTCCTGCAGGAGTCTTCAGAGAGCAAGAACCTGCCTGACACTTCCTCACATTCACAGCCTCCCTGTTCCCTCCAGCAGGGATGTGCCTGCCATAAATGACTCCCCTGATTTAATCCCTTTGAAGGTTTATATTGCCAACAGAATGAAACACATACTTTCCAGTGCCCTCAGTCTCTCCACAAGTCTACCTCAACCCACCTGGTGACCATCCTCCTTCTATCTGATCTTCCTTTCCCCAGGGAGGATCCACTGACACATACAGGTTCCAGGTTTCTATTTTCAACCTTTACTCTGCTGCAGCCCAATCCTACTACAGGACCCTGACAAATCTGAGGACTACCATGGTCCACACAGCTGACGCAGCCATGGCCACTCCAAGGGAAGGGCACAGTTCTTCTTAGTCTCGTTTCTCACTCTCTAAGTTGCCATAGTCTTTAGTTCAGGTCAAAACATTTCTGTTTGGTGGAATGTGTTGGTTGTGGACTCTACAGGGGCCTGATATCTATCTCAAATTGAATGAGATGTTCAGCCCCACTCAAAAACATGTTTATCATCATAGAGCTCAGGGGTCTGAATTCTTCACTCAAAATACTCAAAGGCTCAATTCTACCTCAGTAACATCCCTTAGTGCCCTCTGTCTTCCATGGCAGGAGAAGATGAACTACACTCAGGTCTTATCCTGCCCTCTGCTAGAGACATGGAAAAGTACTTCCCAGTGGATGATTGAATGAGGAGAATGTGAGACAGCCCCCAACCAGAGAGTGTCCTCTCCATGATGGAATTCTAAAGGCCATGATCAAATAAAACCCATAAAAATGCCAATGCTTCCCTCAGGTAACCACATCCCGGTCCAATACCTGAGGGAGTCCGAGAAGGCCTCAACACCATACTTGGAGATGGTGTAAGGACCACCACCAGAGAAAGACACTCGGCCCATGATGCTGGAGACGTTGACCACACGGCCCCTTGCCTTCCTCACTAAGGGCAGCATGCTCAGCGTCACATCGATCATGCCCAACAGGTTCACATCCAGTACCTTTGCATAGTCCTGCTTGGTCAGCCACTCACTGGGACCCCAGGAGATGGATATGCCAGCGTTGTTGACCAGACCCCAGAGTCCTGGGGACAGTGAGAAGAAGAGAGTCACACAGCGCAGGTACAGTTATGGGTGAAATGCACATTCAACAAGGTGAGACCACTTGGACATATGTGTACTGGAGAGTAGATGCAATGAGGACCAGCATGGCATCACAGGGCTGGGGACCCATCCCAGAGGCTCTAGGCTCACAGAGTGGACACCTCCCTCCTTTAGGTCTTCATGGCCCAGATCTCTGCCTGGGAAGCAGGAAGCAGTCACTATCACTTGCTAGTTATAAAAATGGGTTGTGAAGACATGTTTATCTGGAGACCATGAAACTATGATTGTGTTTTACAAATTATTTCCATCCTTGAAGATATATTATTTTCTTTCACTTGTTTGAATATAAATGTGACCCTGAGGCTCATAGATTTGGAGGTCTGGGTTTTGGGAAACAGCACTTCTTGAGAGGGATTAGGGGGTGTGGCCTTGATAGAGGAAGTGTGTCATTGGGGGTGGTTGGGCTATGGGATTTCAAAAGCCAAAGCCAGACCAGAGTCTCACTCTTCCTGCTGTCTGGAAGGAGACATGCAGTACTGATCTGGATGTGGAACTCCCAGCTCCTTCTCCTGCACCATGTCTGCCTGTGGGCCACTAGGCTTCACACCATGCTCATAATGCACTAAACCTCTAAACTGTAAGCCGTCCCAAAGAAATGCTTTCCTTTATAAGAACTGCCATGGTCGTGGTGTCCCTCCACAGAAATAGAAGACTGACTAAGACACACTGCTGCCTTTGTCTTTCAAATAGCAAAGGAAGACAGTTATGAGGAAGGATTAGTGAGAGAGGTAATAGGGGAAAATACAAAGTAGAAATGAAAGAAAAGACAAAGTTAATATCCAGGTGAAAATAGGTTGAGAAACAAACAAATGTGGCCTTGATTGGGGAGATTTTCAAAAGCAGTACAATGTTTATGGCTCTGATGAAGTGGGTCTTGCGAGGTCTAGCATCAATATTGAGGAGTTCTCCTCAGATGCTTGCAAAACCCAGGGACAGGAAAGGGAGGAGACAATGCTTGCTGACCACCAACAGCACTGAGGCTCTACTCCCAACCCCAGAAAATGGTGCCCTTTCTGGAACCTCATGTACAGGCTCCCCTTCCTCATCCCCTTTGGTCTTTATGTCTTGGATCCCCAAGTACCCACTCAGGAAGGTTTACAACTAAACACCATATCCACAGTGTCTATTTCTGTGCAGAGTGCATTGCAGAGTGGTTCATTGACATTAAGCATGGCATTTGCTCATTCAAAAAAAAAAAGTTCAGTAAGTCAGATGGATCCTTGGCTCAAATGCATGTCTTGTCCCTCTGGAGACTCATATTCTATTATCAAGTTTTTTTTGTCTTTTCTTTTGAGAAGCCATAGAAATCTACTTCTATAGAAGCTTCTTAAAATACACACATATGTGAGAGGAATTTAAATGGAGTCACCATAGGATGGGGAGACAATCCCCATCTTTGACATCTTATACCACCAAATATAACCTCCAGTGCCAGTAATGGGTTACAACCTGTTTATTCATCAGGCAAAAGGTCTCCATGGAGCCGCACTCCCAACCCCCATCACAGGCTATTGCCAAGGCCACTCATTGTTCTTCACAAGCTCATAGTAAGGACATATTGCTGAAGATGATAGTTACTTATGTCATCGAGCAGGGAGAGGTTGAGCAGGTGTCCAACCAACAGCTTCACCCCTACTGATTTACAATCAGGGTGCCAGAAGACACTCTGTGCACTCCCAGAGGGAAAGGCGATCACCAGGATCACCCAGCTACAAACCCTGTGACCTACACCTGTGATCTGCCTGTAAGATCTACTGCGCAGTAGAGGCACAAATGACCTGGGAGTAACTGGCACTTTCTGATTAGTTTGAAGGCCACAAAGATACATGCTCAACTATGTTCATAGCAGCACTATTCGTAATAGCCCAAACCTAGAAACAAATTCGTTGCCCGTCAAATAAACACCACAGCACCAACTATTCCAATATCCAATTCCCAGGCATGGTGAAAAGGGTGGGGCTTGGCTAAGGGTCAATTTCCTTTAATTCTTTGAATATTATTATTTGAATAAATGTTTTTCAAGTGGTAAAATTGTTTACTTTTTTAAAGTGAAAAGAATACATGTATATTGTTTGGTTCAGATCAAAATGTTACTAGTATTCATCCACTGGAAAGTAAATTGTATGTTAACTGTGGCTGGATATGCTCTAATATTTAGAACAATAACCACATTTTCAATGTTTTAAATAACTTAAGCTTTTCATACTAACACAAACAGTGGAGAGAGAGGGGAAGGGAGAGAGAAGAAAGAACAGAGGCTGGTGTGTGTGAGTGTGAGAGAGAGAATCCCCTTCCTACATCTGACTGAACTAAGGCATTCCTCCAGTGTGGGGTGCTGCCCTTAAGCATGGCAGTGGCCTTGGCTCCCCATAAATGATCCCAGGTGGAAGTTGAGACCAGGGTCCATTACTGAGAGTGGAGATGCATCTGACCCATGCCCAGCCAGCTTCACACAGAGCTAGGGCCCCAACCTCTTCACTGTCTCTAACCTGGCACTCAGCAGCCAACAGTGCAGCCTTTCTGCATACAGTGACAGAAGAGGACAGACAGAAGTGTGGACATGAGATGACACAGGACACCAGCTGACCAAGAGAAGAGAACTTGAAGGACCAAATATAGGAGGAAGAGGAAGTCCTGACATGCTGTAGAGGGGAAGAGTCTGCAGTCACTTCAATTCCACCCCCACCCTCTTGAGGAATCTTTTTAGGGCTACACAGGCATTCCCTTCACACAGAGAGACAAACCAACAGACACACACAGGAATCTCAATGGTACCTCTGTTGCCAACACGCTCCTTCACCCACTGAGTGGCTGCCACAACACTCTCTGTCTTGGTGACATCGAGGATCACCGTCTCCAGCCTGTCTGATGTCTTGCTCCTCAGCTCCTCAGCTCCATTTTCTGTCAGACATGCAGCCAGCACCCTCATGCCTCTCCTGTCCAGCTGTCTGGCCAGCAGGTTCCCAAAGCCGGAGTCACAGCCCGTGATGAAGACATGCTTGTCTTGGAGATGGCTCACCACCTGCCTCTCCCTGAACAAGCGCAGGAGGTTCCACAGGCCCAGGAGAAACACCAAGTAGAGCCACATGGCTTTGAAGAGGACAGGCACATAAAGTCTGTGCTAAAGTGAGCCTGGCCTCTATTCACAGAGGACAAAGTAGACACTGAGGATTCCAGAAAACACGGAGGAACAGAGGCTTCTAACAGGGAGTTCACTCGTTGTTCCCTGTCCTCTGCCTGTTTGATATTTATTCATACCTCACTTCTCTGATCTTTCACCTGTTTGCTCAACTGATACATAATGGACTTTGGCATTTTCTTTCTTTGCTGCCAAAAATTTATGCCATAATTTCCCACAAGCCTTACTCTCAAGCTCTAGAGTAGTGTATGGAGCTTTGCATCTGCTTCCTGGCTCTAGAGTTGTGCTCAACTAATTCTCTGATTCCAGGTCAAAATAAAACAGGCACCTTCCAGTAGAGATGAAACCATGTTTGCCTTACCCATGTCTTCCACCACTTTCTGGCCCAGTGTGTAAGGATCAAACCGGCCTTATTGCTCTCAAAGATCACAGTTGTGTCAGCAAGTCCTACATCACAACGTGCACACATCTGTGGGTCTTTTTCTTGACTTTTAATTGATGTGAGACGGGCCAACCCTCTGTGGGTGGAGACACCCTGAGCAGGTGGTCCTGGGTTGTGTGAGAAAGACAGATGAACCACCCATGGAGACCAATCCAGGAAGCTGTATTCCTCCATGGTCTCTGCTTCAATTTCCTCCAGGTTCCTGCTCTGGGCTCCTGTCCTGTAATGAAAGGCAGATAAACCTTTCCTCTCTCCAAGCACCTTAGTGTGTCATCACACAGCAGGAAGGCAAACTAGGATCAGACTTCGTACCAGAGGTGGGGCTTCACTCTGATGGCCCTGCAGGCATCACTGTTTGTGAGGTTTATGGAAGGATGTTGGAGTTTGAGCTGAAAGGCTCTTGTAAGCTGGAAACGTAATGGGCTGTTGTCTGGGGGTTGAAGAAAACTATGTAGAAGGACGTTGTTGTGAAAGACCCTAACCCTTCAGGCTTACACCCCCAAGCCCCAGGAGAATAAGGAACTAAAAAGAAAACTAGTTCCAAGGGCAACCTGACTCAGCCATTTTTCAACCACCCCTGCCACAATGTAACAGTGTAACGAGATCGTAATGAGATCTCTGTTAAGAGATGCGCTCAACTGTGACTGGGATAGTTGCAAGTGTTCCAGGAAGGACCACTGTGACCTTTGTGTAAACTCCACTCCCGCCCTGATACCCCCCTTGAGGTTTTGGGTAGAATGTACATGTGGACGTGACTGTACCCACTCTGTGATCACCCTGTGATCAGGCCATGAAATTGTATGGGAATTACAGTCTTATGGCTTTTGTGGGTTTTTCCATTAAAAGTACCCATGTGATTGCAATAGACGTGACTCTTGCTCTCTGGAGCTGAGTTTGCCCGACTGTACAGCCACAATAAACCTCCTGCTGTTACATCAACTGGACCGGAGTCTGGGTTCTTGGGGTGCCCACTTGAGAGCCTAAACTTTGGGGTCTAACAGTTGTCTTTTTCCCATTGTATATTTTGGGTTCTTTATCAAAAACCAGGTGTCTATTAGTGTGTGCACTTATGGCTGGGTCTTTGATTCAATTCCACTGATCAGCCTATCTGTTTTTATGCCAACAGCATGCAGTTTTTATGGTTATATCTCTGTAGTAGTGCTTGAAATCAGGGATGGTGATACCTCCAGAAGTT